TTAGATTTATCAGAGTAGAAATCACCTGTTTTCTGTATCATCTGTAACATGAAACAGTACTACATGTACTCCAGATACTCTGGCCTCTTTAGAAAAAAAAATTGCTTTCTGTGGTACTACTCAGAATTTTGTATTCATCCTTTTGCTCATTATTTTTAAGGTAAAAATTGTAGGTCAGAAAATCTGAAGATTAAAAAATTCACATTTTATTGCCCCATCAGAGCAATAAGTGCAGAAACAGTTGCATAGGATGAAATAGACTCAGTTCTAGAAGCTGGGCAGTTAAAATGTAGCTTTTTGGCTTGCATGCCTTGGATGGCAGAAATAATTTGAGTTGTAATTAGGACCCATTTCAGTCCTGTGCTCTTGACATCTTAAATAATTTCTGCATTCTTTACAGGGTGGATGTGATTGTTCTGGGGGAAGTCCTGTAAGTGCTACTTGTTCATTATACTTTTTTTTTTAACAAAGTATTTAACTGGAAAATTATGCAAGATCCTGTTTATTTCCAAGTTAATTATTTTAACGTACTCTTTAATTTTACATTCATTGTTCCTTTGGTGACTTAGATGGTTCTGGTATGGTGGGAGTTATTTTTTATTATGCCAAGATTCAGTGCTACATAATCATTGAATCATTTAGGTTGGAGAATGCCTCAGGTCCAACCATTAACTCGTCACTGCCAAGGTCACCACTTAGCCATGTCTCTAAGTGCCCCATGTACATGTCTTCTAAATACCTCTGGGGCTGGTGACTCAGCCCCTTCTCCAGCACTCTCTCTAGTGCTTGATAATCCTTTCAGTGAAGAAATTGTTTCCTAAAATCCTATGTGAGCCTCCCCTGGAGCAGTGTGAGGCCATTTCCTCTTGTTCTATTGCTTGTTACTTGAAAGAAGGGACCAACCCCCGCCTGGCTACAGCCTCCTTTCAGGGAGTTGTAGAGAGCAATAAAGTCCCACCTGAGCCTCCTTTTGTCCAGGCTAAACAACCCCAGCACCTTCAGCTGCTGCTCACAAAGTCTGTGCTCCAGACCGTTGCCCAGCCCCTTTGCCATTTTTGGACACAATCCCACACCTCAAGATCCTTCTTTTAGTGAGGGGCCCAGAAGTGAATAAGGATTTAAGGCGGCAGCCTCATCAGTATCCCATCAGTGTAGGGGACAATCACTTCCCTAGTGCTGCTCTCTGGCCACATTAATTCTGATAAAAGCCAGGAAGCTCCAAGGCTGGCAGTGAGCTGCATTTCTGAGCAGTGATGTCATTTGCTATACAGTACTTACAAAGATGTGTATCTCTTCTCAAAAAGCCAAAAAAAGATTGCATTAAGTAGCAGAATTAATTGACAAAAGACCTATCATGAACGAAAGCTAAAATAATACCTAATATATAAAATTGCCAATCATAAACATTTGTATCAAAAAGCAATGTTTACAAAATTTAAAACATAAATAAAACAAAAAATGGAGCAACTTGTCACTTGTGCTTTTAGGTCCATATGAAATTATTTAAGGACTATGAAATAGGGTAAACCCTGTTTTCAAAGCAAACATATGTGGACAATCAACATGTAGCATGTAAAGGACATTCCTGCACCTTGGAAATACTCTTATTTCCTAGGCAATGAATTATAGGTAGATACAACATGATATTTTATGATTTATGGTCTTCTAGGCCAAAAAAAGCGCTATTTCCTCTATTGGCAAATTGATAAAAGTAAGTGAAGTATAAATGTAACTAATTTCAGGCTGTGATATTCTTCCTTTGAAATGCCATGGAACAGATATTCTAAGGTTACGTTTCATTTATACTTTATGACCAAAGACAAAGGCTAATTTTTCTTTTCCTTTTTTTCCTTTATAGGGTGGATCCTCTAGTTCAGTCAGAAGTGATTCCTCTACAAATGTAAGAAATGTTCATCAGCTTTTTAGTGTGTCCTCTGTTTGTTATCAATATAATGGCTAGAGAGAATAAAAATAATGGCTAATAGAAGTCATACACTTGAGAAAATAACATACTTTGGTTACAATTAAAAATACACACAGGACATTTTTTTAATTGTAACTAAAAAATGCACACAGGACATTTATGTAGTGATCCCAGTTTCTCTTTCCATTTGAAATAGTTTTCATTCAAAGTCTTACAATGAAAAATGTTGTTACAAACACAGGCAGATATTTACTTTGGGAGTCAATTCCATTGGCTTTCTTGGAATTATAGAAAAATATCCCCCAAGGACATGGATTTATATGATTTTATTCCTCTTAGATAATTTACTGCAAGAAAGTTTAGTATTAGTCTTTATGTACTATTATCTTCCAAGTTTTACTACAAAAGACTTCTTCTACAGCAAAATAATTGGTGTTTGCATTTTTCCCCAGGACACATCTTCATCTGGAGGCAGCCAGTACAACAGCCAGGTAAGGATTCATTCCAAAAGGACAGGTAGTTTGCCACTTCTGAAAATGATTGTTAATTCATTCAATTAAATTCAATTTTTATATAGGAACTGGGTAAAAAGAACGAAGCCCAGCAAGTTCACTTTATTTTTTATTTATTCACTTTATTTTTTATTTATTTATTTATTTATTATTTATTAATTATTATTCACTTTATTCATTATTGAGTTAGATATGTCCTAAAAATTATAACAATGGATTTTTTAGCAAATAGTGCCCTGGCTTTGTGAAACTTGCAAAATGAAGCTCAAAAAAAAAAAAAAAAAAAAAAAAAAAAAAAAAAAAAAAAAAAAAAAAAAAAAAAAAAAAAAAAAAAAAAAAAAAAAAAAAACCCAAAATAAAGTATGGGGAAAGAATGAATCAAAATGCATAAATTTTTATTATTCCTATTTGACCTAATTCCATTATGAAAAAAATCCAATCTCCCCTCTTTAAAGAGACATCTGTATGAGGTTTCAGTAAATTTTCTTCCTTTGGTTTTTAGACTCCTGTTAGGTAGCCTATATTTTACTGTTAGCTCTGGCCCAGCATTCAGCTTTCCAAATAAAAAGAAGTCATTCTCCAGAAGTGAGCAGAGAAAGAACAGGAAAGAATGTCACTTTAACCTTTCCAACATGTCACACAGAAGACTATGTCTTTGCCTCCCACCCTTGCTAAGGATCTCAAATTTACTTGCTCAACTTAAATCCTAGTTATTAAAGCATTCTGAAAGTCCTGCTCACTATCTTCACTCTTACCTTGCTTTCTTGCTCCTGTTGTCCTGGCAGAATCATGTTTTGATTTAAGGAAATCCTACTGCAGGTAATTCACTCATCTGGTATTCTTTACAGGATTCATATTCCTCTGGATCTAGCCAGTATGGAGGACATGTAAGTTCTTCCTTTAATATTATATATTATATTTTTAATAAATATTTGACTCATATTAAGGATCTCAGTTTGATATATCAAGAAAATTTACAGTGGTCTATACTCTGTAGTAATATTGTGAATTCAAGGAAGACAAAAAAACAGAGTTTATTTTGGGATAATTACACACAAACACTCAATTAACAAAATATAGGTGTCTTTGCCAATTCTTTCCCTTAATTAGATATTCAGAAATAACTAATTATAAATTTTTTTCCAGGAGTCATCTTCTTATGGAGGCAGCCAGTATGGTGGACAAGTAAGCATTAATAGTCCCCATTTTTGTAGTTTATTTATTGTCCACCTGACTGACTCTATCTTAGCTTTAATTTAATCTAAAATCTTTTCAGTGAATCTTTCTCTGTAGTGTTCTGATGCTACTGTAATTAAACAAAACAAGTTCAGATGAAGATCATCATCTAAGACTAAGAAAAAATAGAATGTAAAATACACGGCTGACTCAATTGACTCTTGAAATTTGCAGGACTAGTCAGGTCTTTCTGAAATAAATAAATACTTTATGAAGCTAACCAGAAATTTTAAAGCCTCATGAAATGATTTTATGAGTCTATGAAACCGGTGTAACAAAGTTTCAGCTTCCATTTTTTGCTTATTTTCAGCGTTCACCTTCCTCAGGAGGCAGCCAATATGGTGGACAGGTGAATATTCTTCCCTTATAGCATTTACTACTTTAGCAAAGAGATTTGGCAGTTCTCTGGGTAAAAGAACATTTTAAGGAGATTGGGGTTTTGTCTGGGGGGTTCTGTCCATTTTTTATCTAAAATGGGGTTTTGTCCATCTAAATGGGTTCTGTCCATTTTTGTTGCGAAGTATATAATTGTTGTAAATGTATGGGATCCCAAGCCACAGAAGAGTTTTTAAGATGGAATTTCTGATGCATCATGGTAAATGCAGATGAGCCTCAGCCATTTTGGCACAGTCTGGTTCACAGTCCACTCACAGGTCTGGAGTGAAGGAAACAGGGTACTCCTTCATATGGAGCACAGTTTAAAGGAGTATTATGACATTGATATAGAGATTATTTATTTCTTTTTTGTTCAGAGTTCACCTTCAGGAGGCAGCCAGTATGGAGGCCAGGTGAGAATCTCTTCTTGTTCTATACCAAAACTTGGTATTTTAAAATTTACTCAAAAAATATTTTGTGAAAACTATTTATCTGATAATGAAGAGGTATCTGAAGATGTATTATCTGAAGCAATACAAAAACTATGGAGATGTGCTGCTTCTGTTGTATTAAATGCAGGTCTGGACTTGTTCTACCCTCTAGCCTACCCTGTGCTGTCAAAGTTTCTTAGCTCTACCAATAAGGAAGCAGATTCATCCCTCCTCTATCTCATTTCCTTCAGCAAAATGCAGTATGGTTTAAAATAGGAAGAGGGGAGAAGGTGAGGAGTTACTAAGACTCCTCATGCCCCTGTGAAGTGAAAGATGACAGAGTTCCTAGTGCTGCCTGGAGGTATAGTCTCTAATATGGAGTGACACATAAAGCAATAGGCCGAGTGTTTATCTTACTGTCACTTTTCATTGTGCAACAGAGCAAAAATAGTGTTTCTTTAAAAAGCTCTTGAGGAAGCTTTTTGATTTGAGAAATAATTGGCACCTTTGCTACAGGGTCCATCTTTCTCAGGTGGCAGACCTTATGGAGGACAGGTGAGAATTGTTTTTCTGTTTATTGGTTGTTTTCTCCATTGTTTGCCTTTTTTTTTTTTTTTTTTTTTTTTTTTCCATTTTTTTTTTTTTTTTTTTTTTTTTTTGAGAAATTTAGGATATTTTTTAAAGTAGTATCTTACAGAGAAACAGTGTTTAGGCAGAATAGATGAATATCTGACTCTGCTGTGTCAGGCCACTCACATAAGCAAAGTATAGAAGGCTGCTGTGAGCATGCAGTCCAAGCCAGAGCACTACTCACACCTGCCTGAAGCTGATTTTGATTCAAACTTCATTGTTCTGTTTAAACAGCAGCCACTGTAAAGGCTTTCAGTGGGTTTCAGTATGGTTATATAGTAAATGTTCAAGTCTCTGTGGCACTTAAATCCAAGGAAGACAAATAAAAATGTGTTTTTCTGTGACAGGTCGTAAGTTAAAGAATGTGCAACAAATACAAATGTTTTTTCGTTTCTTTAGGGTATAGCTTCTTCAGGAAGCAGCCAGTATAGTGGACAGGTAAGACTTGCTACTTTCATGGTACTTGCAGTTTGGGTACACAGTTCATCAGGAAAACAGACCGGTATATTTTGCAAAAAAGGAACATTCTGAGATAGAATAGCTTTAAGCCAGACTGAAGCAGGATTGCTAAATATGAGTCTTTCTGGTATATCAGATCATGTTAAAAGCAAATGATGCAGGGGCCTGTGACACTGCATGGGAAAGTTTCTTCAACATACCACAGTTTAAGAAGACATTTTTTTCTTCTATGTTTAAATGGAAGCAATTTGAAAGACTGAGAACCACAGAGAACAAGTGAAAATGTTACTCAGTAACATAGAAGTAATTAAGTAACTCATTTCTTCCAGGGCTTTTCTTCAGGAGTCAGACAGTCTGGTGGACAGGTATGTTTTCTTTCTCTGCACTGTTTGGTACTGCTAGTGTCATACGCTCACAAATTGCTTTGTGTAACTTTCTTTCACAAAAACTGTTTCCAGTCACACATTTCATCCAGATTGAATGTGGAAAGTGAGGCACTGAATATTAACACCTGGCCCCCTCTAAGTTTTATCAGAGTAGAAGTTACCTAATAGGCCTCCACTGGAAGTCCTCTAAAGAGTGAAGATACTGCATGTATCCATAGGATCATAGAGTACACTGATCCATCAGGATCATCAGTCCAACTCCTGGTCCTGTGCAGGACAGCCCAAGAATAAAACCATGACCCGGAGAACACTGTCCAAATGCTTCTTGAATTCTGACAGGCTTGGTACTGTGATCACTTCCCTGGGGAAATTCTGGTAGCTCTGGTATTCTCAAGGGAAAATAAAATATAAGCTGTATTACTATTCAGAATTTTTTACTTATCCTTTAGTGAGTAGGTTTTTACTGTAAATTTTAAGTGAGAAGTTAGAAGATTCTATTTAAAAATTTGATCAGTAATTGCACAGCTAGCCTAAAGGGCAGGGGAGACATAAAGAAATTGCCTATTTAAATGGAGCTTGATAAGTTGATGAGCACTGTTTTATAGTACATTTTTTTAAGAGTAGCAGAATATGAGTTTGATTTACTAATTCAAAGGCCTATTCCAATCATAGACCCAGGAAAGTAAGTTTGGTTGTGTTTTGTACAGGGTGGGTGTGTGTGCCCCGGTGGAGGTTCAGTAAGTATTGCTTGTCTTTATATATATTTTCTCATAATATGTACATATACTGGAAAATTCCCAAGGAACTACACTTGAAATAATTCTGTCTGTGAAGTTCTATGATGAAATATTTTCACATATATCTCATGGTGGATATATGTGGGTTGGGTTTGGACTTTGCTCTTATGATAGTTATTAACAGTATGATTGAACTAGTTAAAATTAGATTAAAATCTTGGCTCCAAATGCTTTCAGAATGGAGCAGAGAAACACATTTGGAAAAGTTAAAGCTATTTCCATTTTCTGTCTAATTAGTATATTTCCTGTTTCTTTGTGAATTCCTGAAAAAAAAGCTAAAACGCCCCAAATGTACAAAATCCCCTCCACTGTTTTGCTGAGATCAAGTTAATTTACTTCTGAAGGAGGGTTCAGTTACCTGGTTTTTTATCAGTAAAGTCAAAATTGCTTGGATCACTACTTCTCTTTATTGGTCTGCATAATCAAGAAAAATTACATCCCAAGTGTATAATCCATGGTATATACGCCAATTCTGAGAATCAAGTGTTGAAAACAACATATAAATTAGAATTTATATAAATAGAAATTATACAATAATAATACTCACTTATATACACACTATATATATACATATATATTCCTTGACATAGAATTCAAGATGAATCAGAATAATAGTAAGCAGCGTAAATTACTTGATCATTGCAATAAGTCAGTGTGTTCTCTTGGATTTCCTCTGTGTGACACTGAAGTTAATGCAGAGTAAACATTGCTGTTTCTGTTGAATGCAGGGCTCTTTTGCAGGAACCAACTACCATGGTGGACAGGTAGGCAGTTTGTCTCTAACATTTACACAGATTAGTTTCTCAGGAATAAACATGGTTCAGTTGTCATATTTGCCAGCAGCCATTAAATATTAAGTTCAGTTTAGTCAGAGACATAGGTACAATAATTCTAGAGAGTGCATGGGACTTTTATTCAATCACTCTTGGCATTTCAATTATATCCTTCCATATACAAGAGCCAAGGTTTTACTTTTTAGTTATGGAAGCTTTCTTACCTTAAGAAATTACTGAAGAATTATTCATAGGCTTCATCTCACTGCATAAACCACCAAGATGATGTGTGGATAATTAGTCATTTTCCACTGCATTAGTAACTGTGTCAAGTTATTCCAGTTAATCAGTGTCATGAGTACTGTTTATATTACATTAAGTCCAGGATCTTTTTTTGCCATTTAAAAATTTGTTGCTATTAAAAAAAAAAAAACAACAAAAATATATATATATGTATTGCATTCTTTTTATAGGGTTCATATCCTGGAAGCAGTCAGTATGGTGGTGGACAGGCAAGCAAATTTTCTTTGTTTTCAAGATCTTCTATTTGCAATTTGTCAGCTGAAAAAATAACATGCAATACATATACTGACAGTTTTTTTAGGGTCATTTTACTCCTAATAAATATTTGAAAACAGGGACTGTCAGTAGCTGGAATCTACTCAAAATGGAGTAGCATGAAAAAATTTCCATGTAAAGAAATTTCATTGATCATAATTTTAGTTGTTTCACCTCAGAATGCCTCTTATTTCAAGTGATTACTTTAATATTTACACTACATACTTGGAAAACTTGGTACAGAATAAACCAATAGATGCTGCTTAAAAATATATAAATTCCAGTGTGTTGCACACAATAACACTACTTTCCTCTTTAGAGTCACCTCAAGACTCTTCCTGTTAAGCATATACCTTATGCAGACTGTTTGGCACCAATTCAGAAAGGTTACTAGTGCAAATAGCTGACATGAAATGCATGACTAGCTCAAAAGATGGAGCTTAGTTTCCATTAGTATTACTGTATTTGCAATGTCTCACTCTACCATACTAAAAAAATTAATTGCTTTTTACTTTGCTGGCAAGCATTGGTTTTCAGTATCACTCTGTTAAAAGATAATCTCATGTAGAATGAAGAGGATTCTTAACGGCAGCAAATCTTTTTTTTTTTTTCCCCAAACTACCTATTTGGTAATATTAACAATATTTTAACAATAATACACATGGTGCTCTCTAAACATGTCTGATGTAGAAAATCACAAATAAAGTCAATTGGTTCTTTCCTCTTGAATAGAGACATATGTAAGACACTTTTAATCCATTTATTTATGGAACAGAACAGTCTCAGAAGGTGTTTTGTGACTGCCCAATTTACTACTTTCACCTGTTGAGGAACTTAGAGGTATTAGATCAGAAGTCTTTCACTGCATCTTTTTAGATTAATATACTTTCCAGATTATGACTGAGATCTCCTGTCAAAAGCCCTGTGATGTTTCATTTTGCACAGAAAAACAAAAAGTATCTGCTGTTAATTTTCCCTGATTTTTTTTTTCTTAATAGGGATCTTATCCCTCAAGAGGCAGCCAATATGGTGGGCAGGTGAGTGTTATCTTTCCATCCCATCACTTCAAACTCACTCCTAACATGCTTTGTAGGTCAGTTACTTGATGCTGACAGATACATTAATTTGGACATTTTATTAAGTTTAAACAGTGCAGGTAATATGGATCAAAGTCGCTTCAGTAAGGTGAATAAAAGATTTGGTTACAATGAGTTACTGCTCTGTGTAAAATATTCCTTTGAACATATTCTAGTTGCCAGGCTGTATTTCTTAACACCGCTTTCTTGATTCAAATTGCCATTGTTGTGGTTTGTAGTACACAGTGTAAATTTTAAGCGTTTTTTTTGTTCAAAGAACACCCAAATAAGCTTGTCCTAAGTACTGCAAAAATTGTCTGAAGACAGTGATAGAAGATTTTACATTCAATTAATACAAGTCTGATTGACTTCTTACAGGGCTCATATCCTTCTGGAGGCAAACAGGGTAAACCAGTAAGTACAAAACATTCACATTTACCTTTCTCTTTTCTTATACACCTGCTAAAAAACCCTAATACCAAGTTAGTTATGGATTAGACAGTTGGAGTTTTACTTTAACATGCAAAGAGTGGCACATGATTTACTTACCTGCGATACTTTCAACAAAGGCAAATACAATATTTTCACAACAGTTTTGAGACAGCACATTACTGCGTAGCTGAACTTCTAGTAATCACAGAATGATTTGTGTGTGTATAAGGAACTTCTGAACAGCTATTTATCTTTATATTTATAATAATAATACACTTTCTGCTCAGAGCTCAGCTTTTCATTGATTTTGTATGCATTTGTCTTAAGTATTTCTGTCTTGCTTTGAAGAAAACAATTTTCCTTTTCAAAGGAAATAATAGTTGCCATTTAACTATGCATATTTTCATCTTCTATAATTTCAGACTTTTTTACTTTTTACTACGTAATTTTGACTTCACTCTTGCCATTCAGTGAGAGTTGATAAAAATGTTTATAGAAAAGATCTTATAGAAAAGATGTACTTGTTATTAAAAAGTGATCATAAATGTTACATTTTCTAATACATGAATCCTGAAGGTGAGACATTTTCTGTACGTATTTGATGGCATTTCTTAAAGACTTAATGATTGTAACATTTCCTGTTGGCAATGTCATTCAAATAAGCAGAGCCACTTCACCAGAAAACTGAATAAGATGCTTTCAGAACATCTAATTTTTCTGTACCTACTTTTATTTTCAACTATCTTTATTTTTAGAGTTTTCTTTAAGTAGGGGCTATAGAGTAAAGGACTTTTATAATTTGCCTTTTTTTGCTGGTGCTGTCTTTTTTTCTCCCAATGTAACCATAGACTGATACCAGGAGAATTATGGTTTAATTGGACCTTATTATTTTTTCTATTCCATATATTAAACACAACTATAAACCAGTTCTTTTTTCTTCAGAATTTTGTATTAAATTGTCCAATACAACATTTGAAAGAACACACATAACAGAAAATGTTAAACACATGTATTTCAGATAAGGTTCTACCTGGGATTTTTGGATGACTGGATACAAAAGTTTTCATTCTTCTGTGGTCTTTAATTACATATAGCAAGACTATTTAAGCACAAATAGATTTAGAGTGAAAAACAGGTATCTTTTTTCAGGGTTCCTCTTCCTCAGGAGGCAGTCATCAAGGAAAGCCAGTAAGGATATTCTTTCAGTATTCTGCAACCAAATTAGACATGGGGATATTGGGTTTTAAGATAGGTAACAGCAATGAGGGTGAAATTTTAAATTATGTTACAATGGTAAATGTATGAGAAAAATTACCAATAAAAATTGGAATATTTTGCTCAAGCTTGAACCTTAGGATGAGGCAGCATTTATTCCTCCATAGCAAAGTTTTGATATACCCTGTTACTTACTCATAGGAACATTCCTGGGTCATTCTAATAAGAATGATGTATTTAAATATCAGGGCAATTGTTTCAGTTTCCAACTCTGTAGCTCAGACAAGACACATTGCTTTGATCCATTCCTCTGAAACTGTTCATGCAATGAAATGGACATAGCCGTGCTTGTTTGAGACCATTCAATTAAAATAGGGGGGAAAAGTGCAGTGAAAATGGTAAAATCAAAATCATTATCAGACCCACTAATATCCAGGGCATTTTCAAGATTGCTGTGTGCTCTTTGGACACTATTCATGCAGCCTTATATGACAAAATTAAATGGTTCATAATTGTTTCACAGGGTGGCTCTGGCTCAGGAAGCACTTACTCTGGGAAACCGGTAAGAATACTTTCATCACAGCACTTTAATCTTCTTTTGTCAGTAAAGAAAGAACCTGGCTGGTGGATAGAGAAATTTTGGGATGACTTGGTCTGAAGAGAAAAATCTATATTAATATTAGTTCAGCCTTCCTCTTGAACAACTTAAGACTATGCTGTGGGTTAAGCTATTAAAATCTTGTTGATCACAGGAAGAAACTGTTCAAAACCATTGGCTGGGAGATGCTCTATAAATTTATTTCTTGGTTTGTTTTCAGCAATCACCCTACTCAGGCGGCAGTCAAGTGGTAAGAACTTTTCCTCTGTAGTTTCTACTGGTTTCTTCCTATAAATGTCACAGAAAACTGAAATCTGTCAGATTTCCTACATCTGAATAAATGTTTGAGAACACATGTGCAACATAATAAATGAAATAGTCTTGACAAAAAGGAAGAAAAGTGGGACCACATAGGTGCTTTATACTTTTGACCCTGACTATCACTGAAAAATACGTGTTGATATAAGTGTGGCACATGGTCTTTTGACAATAGAAGTGTCTACATAATAGATGGGGCTAATACAAAATTATTTCTCTGAAAAATTCAATGCTTTTATAATAGCAATAAAGAGAACTATTTAGGAATGGTTTTATCAAATTTCTCTTTTTTTTTTTTTTACAGAGCTCTGCTGGGAAACACTCTATTCCCCAACTCCTGATGTTATTCAGTGTTTTGAGTGCCTTTGCTCTCTCTGCTGCTGTATCAAAATGGTCTATATGAACTTAAGTGTTACTTGACATCCTAAACACAGATTATAATCTGTATTATTAGATTACTTAATGTAAGAAAAAAAATACCATTATGTTAAATTGGCAGATGCTACTTGGCTGTTATGTTGCATGTCTAGCTGGTATGTCATGCCCCTCATTAGTTTACCTGTGGTTTTAGTCATTAGTAGTTATCATTAGTTGTGTCAGTGTTTTAGGCATCATTTTAAGAGAGCATATGGTACCCTATCTGTAGGATTTATTTTTATTTCCAATAGGGAATGAGATGAACACCTACCTGATATGATTGGTGTGACAAATGAATATTTAGGGAAATATCTGGTTATTAACCAAAGTGGACAAGGGAAATAAACTGTTGTATTTGCAAACTGAGCACTGTGCCTAGTAATCATCGCATAAGGTAAGGCTAATGTAAACTTCTGATAAGCAGTTCTCCATGGGACAGAAGGAAAGATGCTGAAGTAGTATCAGAGCATTGGTTTTAGTCTTTTGTAATCAAATGCAAATTCAATATGGAGATTGCAAAGCAAAAAACTCCCAAAAACTCCACAGGTCTGAATTTTTTGGGGGTTAATTAAAGTTTATTCATTAGAAAAATGAAACAGCTCAGAGCAAAAACATTATGAACTCCATTCAAACCAACTACAAATACCTAGAGTTCTGTAGAGTAGCATATGAGGCACATGTACCCCACATTAGGCTGATGAACTAAAAGCTGCAGAAAAAGAAAGCCTTTTTCCTTGGAAGGAATAGAAAAAATAATTAAATTCATAAAACTAATACAATCTTGGCTTCCTTTTTCAATTATTTAGTTCAACCTGTGATACCTCGTGTATCTGAAAGGTTAATTTCATGAGTGCAGGTACATCAGTGTGCTCCCAGAAATACCAGGGCCTGGTTTTGAGCTCAGCAGCAGTTCCACACCTTGCAGCAAACTCTTCCGGAGCTCTCAGAGCCACCTTCTGTTTGGTGTTAACAAAATGCATTCACATAAGGCATACTTTTAATGAATGTGTTGTTGAACATGTGCCTGCTATTAAAATTACCGTTATTAGAAGCGTGCTTTTCTGTCATGGTTTACAATTGTAATTGGTGGAAGAGGTTTCCATTCAAGTTCTCCTACCAGCTTCCGCGGGGCCAGGATTTCACCCGGTTTTGGTGAGCAGCACTACCCTTTGCCAGCCATCGGTAAATCAACCTGCAAAGGAAACACAAGGTTATGCCTATATACGATCTTCAACATTCAGAGGACAATTTGTTTCTTCGGACAACACAGTACCGTTCTGTTTGAGAGGTCCGCACCTTAATTCGAACCAGCCCTACCATTCTCTAATAAATTTGTGATGGGCTTGTACAAAACGCTGCTGTCAGCGGCTGGCGAAGTCCCCCGCTCACGGTCGGGCGGCACACGGCCCGTGCCGCGCCCCGGCCGCAGGGACCGCAGGCTGCACTGCCGGGCCCGCCGCCGCCCCTCGCCCGGCCGGGCCCCGCCGCCGCCCCTCGCACTGCCCGGGCCCCTCGCACTGCCCGGGCCCCTCGCCGCCCCTCGCACTGCCCGGGCCCGCCGCCGCCCCTCGCATTGCCCGGGCCCCTCGCACTGCCCGGGCCCCGCCGCCGCCCCTCGCACTGCCCGGGCCCCGCCGCCGCCCCTCGCACTGCCCGGGCCCCTCGCACTGCCGGGCCCGCCGCCGCCCCTCGCACTGCCCGGGCCCCGCCGCCGCCCCTCGCCCGGCCGGGCCCCGCCGCCGCCCCTCGCCCTGCCCGGGCCCGCCGCCGCCCCTCGCCCGGCCGCGCCCGCCACCGCCCCTCGCCCTGCCCGGGCCCGCCGCCGCCCCTCGCCCTGCCCGGGCCCCGCCGCCGCCCCTCGCCCGGCCGCGCCCGCCACCGCCCCTCGCCCTGCCCGGGCCCGCCGCCGCCCCTCGCCCGGCCGGGGCTCCCGCTGCAGCCGCGGCCCTGGGAACGGAGCGGGCGGGGCTCGGCTGCAGCCGGAGCCTTTGCGGGACGGGACCGCGGCTCCCGGAAGCACCGGGAGCCGGAGCGAGCCGCGCTGGGCCGGCGGTGACGGCGAGCGGGGCCGCCGGGCGGGCGCAGGTGGGAGCGGAGCGGGGCTGAGCGTGAGGGGCCCGCCTGAGGCGGGCCTGTGCTGGGGGAGACCTTCGGGATTAGCGGGTGGGCGGGAAGCAGGGCTGGGGAGGGAAGGGTGGGCTTGAAGACACCCAGAGCAATGTCTGGAAATGGAGCGGTTTGGGCAAGAGGGAGGAGAGGGTGAAGTTGAGGCTGCTGTGGGGAAGCGGCCGTGTGTGAAGTTGGGAAGGGGCACGGATCTGGCCAGAGCTGTGTCAGTGCTGCTGAGGTTGTGACACCTTGCTGGTGCTCTGCTGAGGAGATGCTCACTATGCAGGATGTGGTGCTGCATGTAAAGTTCAAAGAAATGCATTTTACGAGTATTTGCATGGTTATCATAATTTTATACCAAGTTTTTGAAATGAGAAACGCTCTAGCGGTACAGCACTTATGGATTAAGCAGGAACTCAGAGGACAGAGATATAACAAATGTAATAATACATATTATGGAATAAACTGAAAGATAAAAGGTAAATATGAGAAGGTACCCGAAGTTGTTTCATTTTATGAAATCCTATAAACTATGTTTTAGACCAGAGGGAGGAAGACTTGGATTCCAGATAAAATATTTTAAGTAATGATTGGGTGAAGAAGACTGACACAGCTTTGAGCAAAAGAGGGGTGTGTTATTTGGGACATAAAGAACGTATAAAGAAACCTTTCTAAAACTGAGCACCACAGTGGGAAGTTTTCTTTTCCATGGTGGTCTCTACACAGGAAAATTGGGATGTGAGACAACCTTTATTTTTTAAAGACCATATGTGCAGAATGACAAAGTAGGTCTTGGAATAAACGTTAGCTGATGGACTGCTTTTCTCGAAATCTGTGGGGCTGCCTCTCTCCATAGGCACTGCACTTGACTTTCAGTGTGCTCACTGAGTTGAGCTACAGGCTGGAAGATGAGTTTGAGGGAGGTGACAGTTGCAGAGAAAGTGATTTACAATAATCTCTCCCTTTGGAAACTGTAGTTCTTTATTCCCTTGTACATTGTTGGGCATTGTAAGAAGAACTTGTGATTGAAAATCACAGTTCTGGGTGATAAATATCCGTTGGTTCAGGATGCATGATGTTCTGGTTGGTGGAAGTAGTATGTGTAGCAAAAATATTGGTTTGGGGAAAGGCTGGTTCTAGTAAGTATAAATTTGCTTTCTTTAGAGCAATGTATTGTTAGGATTAACTCAGCCTCCAGCAATCCTACAGCATGCCTACACAGCCTAATTCCTTATTCGGGTGATGCTATTGTTTACAACAATGAGAAAAAGGCAGGGATCATCTGAGCCCAGTACCTGTGGAATTCAAGTCACATGTCCCCTTAAACCAGTTCCTGATTTGGCAGTGTTAAAGGGAGCACATCACATACTTATCTTTGGGACAGGTTTGCTGGACACAGTTATTCCTCCCATATTGTTGTTGAATTGCTCACTGCCTGGGCTTATTTTTCATCGGGTACTTCAGTTCCCACCGTGTTTGTGCTGCTTGTGCAGCCTCCGTGCCTTTGCTGGAACTCAGGAGGCTGCGCAGCTGGATCACATCAGTGGAGGATGTCTCTAGAAGGGAGGAGAGATTCTTAATATCTGTACTTCTCAGGATCTGGCATGATAATGTCAGATGGTTCTGGAGTTAGGAGTTCAGGATTTTGCCACTGGATTTCTCAACCTTGTCTTACATTTATACCTCTTCAGTGCAGTTCAGTTGTCCCATTTTATTTGTAATTCCTAGCATGCTGCTGTGCCTACAGATTGATTTTCCCTGGAGGATCTAGTTTGTGTGACTCTACTCCAAGTAGGTCACCTTGATTGAGGTGTTTGACACACTGTGTTGCCTTGAGCACCCAGACTTGATTTGTAATTCATAAATAGCATAAGTGTAAGCTGCAGCTGAACCCCAGCTGGATTAAATGTTCAGTCTTTCAGCACCTTAAATCAAGCTCCTTCGTTGGCTTGCTGCATCTGCAGGAACTTCATTCCAGCAGTCCTTTGGTTCATGGCATTGCACTCCTGTGTGCTTGAGGAGTGGGCATTTGAACTGCAACTGAGAACTGAATGGCTCCTTGCTTGCAGAGTCTGAATGTGGCTGCTGGGATCTATCTATACTGTGATCTATATAGTGAACATAGTGTATGTACTGTGTGAAAACAAGATGCAGTTCAGGCAGCTTGTATCGAATTTCTGTGCTGGCAGGCAGAGTTGGGCTTAATGACTGTTATGTCAATATAAAACTATTGCACTGCTAGGCAGAGTTAAAGTCTTCATCTTACAAGAAATGCTGGTGTTGACATTTAGCTCAATGAGGGCCTGAATTTCCAGAATGCAGAATATTTATACTCAATATGTGATTTGTATAATATTCATCAAACCAAATTTTCATCAGTCAAAAAATATGATCTCTGGATTCTTAGGTTTGGTGTAAAGGATAAGGGTGGTGGGCTTAAAGAGCACTTAGCCACAGATCCCACATTTTAAGATTCACAATGCTTTACTCTTCCTGCCTGGTACATAGATTAGAATGCTATTTATTCCCCACAAAAGAAAGAAACAAACCGAAAACCTTTGTGAGCTCATTAAACAGCTCACCCACATTCCCTTTCTGCTCAGTTTTCTGACATGTAAGAAAACCTTGCCTGGGTCCCAAGGAATTTATAGCATTCTCTGAAATGCGACTTTAGTTAATAGTTAATATGCAATTGGATTCCCTCTGTTAAACTTGGCAGTGATGGAATTTCCTGGTTGAATTATATATGTGGCCAGTGAATCACTGATACAGCCTCCACTATCTTTGGCAGAAGCCAAGGTTTTGGAGCAAAGTTGAGAAGAAATCATTGGTTGATCTTTAACAATTACCATTTAATGTGTAACTACTCTAAAACTAGGTGCACTTGCCAGTTTTTAAAACCATCTGCATGGTTTTAAAATGGCCAAGAGTTGTGGTTTGACCCCAGCTGGCAACTAAGGCACAGGCACTTGCTCACACCCCTGGTGGGATGGGGCAGACAATCAGAGAGGTAAAAGCGAGAAAACCTGTGAGTTGAAACATAGACGTTTAGTAGGTAAAGCAAAAGCTGCACTTTCAAGCAAAGCAAACCAAAGAGTTCTTTTACCACATTCCATGGGAAGGCAGGTGTTCAGCCATCTCCAGGAAAGCAGGATTCCATCATGTGGAACAGTGACATGGGAAGACAAACACCATCACTCTGAACCTCCCCCTCCTCTCTTCTCCCAGCTTTTGTACTGAGCGTGACTCCAGATGGTCTGGGATACATCCCTGTGGTCTCTTGAGGTCAGCTTTCTTGGCTGTGCTCCTCCTTTCTTCTTCTCCCAGCTTTATGTACTGAGCATGACTCCAAATGGTCTGGGATATATCCCTGTGGTCTCTTGAAGTCAGCTTTCCTGGCTCTGTTCCTCCCAACTTCTTGTGCATTCCCAGCCTCCTCCATGGTGGGGTGGGAGGCAAAAAAGTGTAATCCCTGCTCAATGATAGTGAAAACGTCCCTGTGAGCACTTTTCAGCACAAATCCCAAACACGTCTCCCTGCCAGCTGCTGTGAAGAAAATGAACTCTACCCCAGCCAAAACCAGCACATGAGATATGGTTGTGCCTAGGGAGCAAGATGACGTTGCAGGAGCAAGGTCCTCCAGTGATCTACAGTGTTCTACTTGATCACCTTGTCTTAAAAATACCATTTGAATGCAGTTATGTTTTTAATTCTTTTCAGTAGTTAAGATTTTTTTTTAATGTAAATCGAGAAATTGGAAATACTGCCTGAAGAAACTTTCATATGGAAAAAAATCTTTGTTCCTCAGTTTCTGCTCAAAGAGTAAGGAACAGACTTTGCTAGGGGCTTTGCTTTTAACCACATTTCTGAAGAATTGTACAAGCTCCAAGAGAAGCACAGTTTTGTTTCTTTTTTTCATAGTGTACTTAATGCACTTTATAATGTCTCCAGCAAGAAAAATGAGTAACAAACTGGGAAACGAAAAAAGAAAGAGCAAGGTAAGTTTTAAAATGATGAAGTTAATTGCAGTGATTTAGTTGCAAAGTGCCAGGTATGTGGGGAGGAATAGCTGACAATTGTAGATAGCTTATGGGAGGGAACAAATAAGAAACTTGTTCACAGTATGAGGAAAATGGAAAACATAGTAGTGACATTTTAAAGTGTGAAATACAAAATATTTAGGACATGCATTACTACAATTACAGTGGCATGACAGATTTCAGCTTGTGGTGAGAGGAGAAAGAATTGTTAAATTTTAGCAGTCCAAATATGGCAGTTAAATTATTTGTGTGTTTGTAAAACCTTCTTCAGAACGCAGTTCAGCAGCTCCTAACTTTTTAGATTTTAACTTTTTTTTAGATTTGGAGAGGTCTATGTGCCCTCTGTGCCATGTGGGATATTTGTCATAAAATCATAGAATGGATTGGGTTGGAGGGGACCTCAAAGATCATCTGTTTCTGGCTCCCGGCCATGAGCAGGGACACCTTCCACAGACCACGTTTCTCAAAGCCCATCCAACCTGGCCTTGAACGCTTACAGTAATGGAGTTTCTCCAGTTCTCTGGGAAGACTGATCCTGAATTAGCCCAGCCCAGGCCCTTGCACTTGGCCTTGCTGAACTTCATGAGGTTCCTTTCTTCCACTTATTTCTATACTTAAAGTGTAAGTTGTATTATATACTACTTCTGATAAATACAAAGCTATATTCACTCAAAAAAAAAAAAAAAGGAATATTTATGGAATAGAACTTTCTCTGTGGAATGTATCTGTGTTGCAGAAAGTGTCATGTTACTTGTGTGTTATCCAGCACAGGGAAGAGGGCAATGTGTGTAGAAAGTAAGTAAAGCATAGAAAGAAGTTTTATAAAGATAGGTCCTTCAGGTTCTGTGAGTTATCTCTTACTTCCAGCCGGGCTTTTCCTTTGTTGGCAGCTTATTGTATTTGTATAGGTGTGGTGCCAGCACTAGGTTCATATTTAATAGGAGAAATATGAGAACACCATCCTGTTTTCTTTAATCTCTTATCATGAGCTCAAAGCAAATGCTCAGGAGGTGTGTCCGTCCATACATGTACCACTGGAACGACACAGAGGCAGATTCAATCAGTGTTTATTTTCCAGCAGATCGCAAGTGGAGAATTTGGTGTAGTAGCACAAAAAAATTAAACTTTGCCTTTGGCAGTTGTGAGGGCTGGTTCTCTACTTCTGTGTTGGGCTTTGCATTTTAATTGAAACATAAATGCCTTTTGTTGGTTGAGCAATAGTAAACTGATTAGTCATAAAATGGAATAAGACCTAGGAAAAATAACTCCTGTAACTTGGCTTTTTTACTCTAAAAACCGTCAGCAGTGAAAACATTTCACAGTTAGGCTGGAAGGAATTCAATTCACCTAACGACATCACTGTGAAGATTTGGAGCATGATACTAGTTAGTTTATTTTTCTTTTTTTAAATTAAACTTTTCTTGTGACAGAGTATGGAGGAGTAAAGAAATAGTTGTCAGTAGAGGTTATTTTTGTCAAATCTTTTGGTGAATTTAGCTTACTTTTTTGTTGTGAGAATTGCTGGAATTTACTGTTAATTTTTTTCTTATATTTCATCTACTTCACATAATGTTGGGTGCTTGGAGTTTTTCCTATAAGTTTCTCTGATACTTCCTGTAATTCTGAGTCCTTCTACAAAGATTTTGAGTCCTTACACAAACTTAAGAATAGAAACCAGTTCATAAACTAGTCCTTAATTTTGCACAGGATTTTGCAACAGTAGATACTTATCAGCTGAAATCTTCAGAAGTTTATACCATTAGATCTTTAAAAGACAAAATCTTCAGGTTAAGAAAAGTTCCATAATCTTACTGCTTTGTAGTAAACTGATTAATATCAAGGAGTTTTGGTGTGCTGTTTATTAATTCAGATTGGTTGTGGCTTAATTTCATCTGCAAATATTAGAATTTACTAGTATTTTAGGAGAGAAAGTGTAGGGATGAAATAAAAATATTATGTTTTAGCCTGGGTTGGAGGTATTACAAAGGGAGATGAAAATCTGCAAGTCAGAAATGTATTTATTTTTTAATTAATATTATGAGCTGGAAACATGTGATTTTCCACTTTAAAAAATTTGCTTCCTTTGAAGAGTTATTCTTCATACTTTGGGCAGTATGGTACTTTGAGCTGAAAGTATTACTTCCTGTATAGATTGCATTGCTTTGCTTTGCTTTGTGTTCTGAAAACCTTTCCAGGGTCCTTCTCCTTTTCACTTGCAAGGAGTGCAGCTCTTCACATAAAATCCAAATTTAATGCAGCTGTGTGTACTGAATCCAAATGTTACGTGGCTGTAAATGCCACCTTGGCTTCCTGTGTGTTGGCTCCTGTGCAGGGCTGCCTTCCTTGTGGCTGCAGGGTGTGTCCATGGCACACTGAAGAAATGACGCAGAAGGAACTGGTTTCTTTTTTCACATAGCCTAACAGAAGAGAAGAGGAACGAGCCCAGTCCCTGAGATGAGTTTCTTAATATTTTAGTCAGGAAACTGCACACCCTGGTGTAAAGCTCAAAAGAAAGAATTAATGTCACCACTCAACTTTCAGTCTTTGAATTAGCAAACCTAAATCTCATTTTTCAAACAGATGCTTCCTGCAGAGTACCAAGTAGTGCATCCAAAGCCCAGTAAGAAACCTAAGTTGTAGCTCTGTACAGGAAATGCAGTGGGAACTTCACTATCATTGTTGGTTTAAGATCCAGGTGGGGGTTGTTACTGAAGGCAATAGTTCATTTGTTCTGGGACTGCACAGCTGCTGCTCTGAGGGTAGCAGGAGCTCATGGCTACAAGTGAGCTCTTACCCCTCTTGGCAGTCACTTGTAAATCTAAAGGTGTGAGACTACAGTTGAAGACAGTCTTTAAAGTTCAATATTTTTCTCCTTTTTTGGATTGTTCCCAGTTTGCACAAGAGGTCCATGAGCTGATAAGCAGGTCTTTTAAAAGAGAAGGGACCAGGAGAGCTGATGAGGTGTTCTGTGTGCTTAGGAGAGCGTGTTTATGTTATTGACATGTGTACATTTCAGAACTCTAGTTCCTGCTCAGTGAACCAGCTTGTAAGTACAGCATGAAACTTCACACAATTGCTGTCTACAAGCCTGTCTTGTTGACCACTGACAGGACAACTTTTAAAAGATACTCTTATTTCAGCTATCATGCTGGAAACTTAGGTTCCATTCTAGTTCTATTTGGAACTCTGAAATGCATTAGTGACTTACAGTAAGGAAATATTTCCTGCTACTGGTGCCTTTTTGAGATACATTGTCTGGGGAAAGTTCCCTTTTTAATCATGATTTCTGAGGAAAACAAGACAGAAGTTAATGGTGTGGTATGGATTCTTTATGGCTTTGCTTATGGCTTATTAAAGTGTTGTGCTTGTGTTTTTATTTTCATGCTGATTGCTTTGCTACTTCCTCATTAACAATGTACTAGTGACTTACTTTTAAAATTGCATTTTAAGCTGCTTCATAAATAGATGGCTATATTTAAAAAAAATAATGTAAACATTATTTTTAATATTATGATCCTCTTTGAAGGTTACAGAATTGATATCTGATGATTTTAACATTTGTAAAACCCTTTGTCATTTCACAGGCTGACAGAATGCAGAAATTTGGGTCTGAGACAGGAGGGAAATGTGTGTTCCCATTAGCTGTATTTTGTTTAGAAGCATTTTGAAAACAAAAAAAAATTAAAAAAACCACCACCAACAACAACCAAAAAAAAAAAAAAAAACAAAACCAAAAAGTTTAAAAAACCTACATCTTAAAGTTCTAAGGACTTACTTATCTGTAGGTGTGTTTTCATGAAATTCAGTTGTTTTTGTCTTGTTGCTCTTTTTTTCCAGTTTTTCAGGTCTGAATACTAAGAAATTAGGTAGGTGGGAACAGTGAAAGAAATTGTTTGTTCAAGTTGGCTCACATAAATGTCAGTTTTCTCTAGTATCATAGACAAGCCTTTTAGTGAAATTCAGTTCTGTGTCCTCTCTCAGTAGGATTCTTTCTTCTTTACTGTTTTTTCCTCTCTGTCTTTGTGTTGCTGGTATTTTTCCAGAAAGCATGGTCTCTGAATGTGCATGTCACTTCTTCATCACTTTGCAGGAACTGTTCTTTTTCTCCTACTTCTCAGCTGTAGCAAATTTATTCTTCAAAAGTTGTTCTCCTGTTAAGATTCCTTAATGAAACCTTGTGTGTTTCTTCCTTAGTTTCTGCATCCTGGCATCTTTTTCTTCCATATTTGCCAGTATGTTTTTACAAATATTTTTACAATGGCATGATTTTTGAGATGTACAATTTTATTGTGTAGAATGCAAGTGTGTACTTCATATCTTTGTGGCTGTTGATAATCCACTCCTGTTTGCAGGTTACTGCAATGTCTTTTAAGTGTCAGTGTTGTATAAGTAATAATTTGACTTTGAGTATTTGACTGGAGAAGATCTATAAATGCTTAGAGACAAGATAAGGACAAATCAGAAATATTTGAAGAGTGTAGCTCTCCAAATGTCTACAAAACCATCAATGAAGTGCATCTTGAGCTAGAGAAATGCAGTTAGCAAGAAACTGCTTCAGTTCTAGCCACAAATACCTAGAGGTACCAGCACATCCTTGAGCAGTGTGGACAAAGCAGCGTAGTTCATGAGTCAGAAGTTGTGTTTTACACCTGCCAGTGTAAAACATGAGGACAGCTCTGCCGTATGCACCCAGCAAGTGGGGTATGTCTGCACTTCTGAAATTGGGAACCACATGCATTGTCTTGGCTTGTTACTCTTCTTCTACTTGTAAACATAGTTGTAAACTTCTAGTTATTGATTTAACTTTGACATTATAAAAAAATGCTTTGTTTTTGAATAACTAGGCAATGAAGGGAGTAGAATATAATCTTTTATAGAAAACATTAGTTTTTGTGTATGAAAGTTCTTTATATGAAGCATAGCAAAAATTATGTGATAGTCTGAGTAGCAGCAAGCTTTTTTAAATCTTCTTGTCATATATTGTGCTTCCAAAAAGAAAATTACTGTCTCTATTAGTCTTCTGCACTAAGTTGATCCTTTAAACTGGTGACAAATTGCAAAGAAAACTACATCAACTTAGTGGAAGTTCCTGGTAGAGATGAGGATGGTACAGCTTTACTAACATGAAGTTTGTGGTAGTCAGTGCAGCCTGAGAAAGCAGTTGCAGTCACTGAGTCATCTATATTCAATGATTTTTTTTCTGGGCAGGATAATCAGCAGGACAGCTTTAGTGCTACTTCCCCTAAAGCTTCTCCATCCCATGTCTTCTCTCCAACTGTGCTTTCCCACAACTCTCCTTTCCCTTCATTGGCAGCCATACCTCTCATTCTCATTTAAAGCCTCACCCTTCTTTTGCTGGCACGGTGACACCTGGCAAGGCAGAGACTACAACCTGACAGGCTTGGGAGAGGTGGAAGAGTGGGAAGATCTCTTCAGTCGGGAACAGCTCACTGCAGCAGGAGTACTGGGCATTCTGCTGTACCACAGCTTTCACCTTGAAAACACCTTCACCTTGAAAATACCTTCTGAGCCTTCACCTACATAAAGAAATCGGTGATTCCAATACCTGCAATATTTCCTTTGGGTTTGTTTCTTTTTTTCTGTTTCAGAAAGGAAAAAGTCAAGAAATGTCTGCCAATTTAAAGTACCTTTCCTTGGGCATCCTGGTTTTTCAGACCACAAGTTTAGTGTTGACCATGCGCTATTCTCGGACACTGAAAGAAGAAGGACCTCGTTACTTATCCTCTACTGCAGTAGTTATTGCTGAACTTCTGAAGATTTTGGCCTGTGTTCTATTAGTCTACAAAGACAGCAGTATGTGTCAAATTTTGCACCAAGTAATTTTCCTAATCAATATGCTGTATTGTAGTGGCAACTGCAAAGCAGCCATGTGAGTACAGGCATACAACAAAGCATTTCCTTTCTCCTTGTGTAAGAAAGTCTTGGAAAGACAATAATCATACTGCATATTTGCTTAAGAGAATGGATACTGAGGAGTGCAGGAATGAATTTTATGCTAACATCTCAAAGTTTGTGTTTGCTCAGGCATTTTAAGAAATCTGTATGTAGAAGCAGGAAAAAATGAAAAGCTTTAAGTGTGTCCAAAGCACAAATGATAATTTAGAAACCTTTGATAAACAGCAGAGGTAGAAGGGAACAAGCAATTTTATTGTTACAGGAAGAATCATAGTTTTAAACTAAGAAAAATAAAACTATATTCACATTTACTCCAGGTCTTATTTTGCATATTTAAAACTGAATTTATTTAAAACTGGTTTCTGTTTGATATTCAACAGCTTAAAAATGTCAATCTATGCATAAATATAGATGACTGTAGGATTCTAAATATGTTCTTTTTAGGTGGTACTCTTTGATATATTATCTTAAATTACTGAAAGAGTTTCAATAAGTTTAACTCAAAGTATTTTGAATACTTTTTTCATTCTGATATTCCAGGCTGCAGGAAGACACTTGCAGCCATATTTCCTTACATATACAAGGCCTGTGAAAATGAAACCAAGGTAGATGGTATTTTCAGGTCTTGGCATAGTGATAGCTATAAAAAGGGGAAACAGTTTAAGAACAGAACATTGCTATTTCTCCTTTTTCCACTCCTTTCCTTTTAGTGAATATCTATTTCTTTTACTGTTTCTTTGGGTAGAGTGCAATTTACGGACTCTGAACAGAGTGCTACGTGATGAAATCCTTAACAAACCCATGGAAACTCTTAAACTTGCTATTCCTTCAGGAATTTACACTCTTCAGAACAACTTGCTATATGTAGCATTGTCAAACCTAGATGCAGCCACATACCAGGTATTGCATATTTGGAATTCTCTGTAAGTTTGAAAAAAAACCCATGAATTGTGGCATAGTAGTAGTAACTGTTCCTGGTTCTTCTAGGTTACATATCAACTGAAAATTCTCACCACAGCATTGTTTTCTGTGTCCATGTTGAGCAAGAAACTGGGTGTATACCAGTGGCTGTCACTTGTAATATTGATGACAGGAGTGGCATTTGTGCAGGTAAATATTAGCAGGTATTTTGTGGATTTTAATGAGTTTATTCAAGAAACATGGATTTTTGTACTGATTATCCAGCTTTCAGATTCTGCCAGCTGCACATGAGAACCAGAGTAGAGTCAGGAGCTATGAATCACAACTGGCCAGGTCTGGAGGACACCAGAAATGGTTCAAAGGCAGAAGATAACACCTCTTTTGCAACCCAGTGCTCTACTGTAGAATCTGACAGGGCCTCTGGAGCAACCTGCAAGTAATAATGATAGTTTATATTAGCACATTTCTTCAGGTATTAGGAATTCACAGACCATCTCTGCCAGTACAGGCTGTGTTCACTTTGTCATGTGGATTCAGTGTGGCAAATTTACTTTGGACTAATTTCAAGAAGCAAATTTGCCTCAGTTCTCAATAGTGCAGGTACCAGAGTTCATAGTTTTAAGAGGGCAGGATCATGGGATAAGAGGCTATTCTAAAATTTTTCAGCATATTTTAGTATATCCTAGAAATCCTTATTTTAAAACTTAAGAAATTGAAAAAATATATTGTGATTAAATTCAATAATGAACAATGAGAACAAAACACTCTGACAGTATTTAACAGACTCCTCATAAAGTTTGTCCCTGGCATTGCATTTTATTCAGTTAGCCTTAGGCACATTGCAAGATTTAACTGGTCTGCAGAATCACCAAAGAGGGGCACATGAAAAAGACAATACATTCTACCTTAAAGACAGTGGGTGTAAGTAGTTTTCTAACTGTGTTTATATTTGTAGGGTAGGGTGGCAGAAGTTGGTGGCAGAGAATGACCATGCTAAGTCACACTGAGATTCAAAACCAGTTCTTGCAGCTGTTTAAATTGATAAGTATTCTCCCAGTTCAGGCACAATTTTACTCCTTACAAATATGTAGGAAAAAATTATAGCATTGCAGTCCTTTAAAAGTATTTATAGTACAAAATACAAAACTTTTCAAGTATGTGATTGTTTGTATTTAGTAACTGTTACTGTTGGTGGAAAACAAATTTGCATTTTGTAGAGGCTCATGACTTGATTTCATCGGTGAATTTTGTGTAATTGTTTTTACATCCAGTGGCCTTCAGATTCTCAAGCAACACCTGCTAAGGAGCACTCAGCAGGATCACAGTTTGTAGGCCTGATTGCAGTTCTCATAGCATGCTTTTCTAGTGGATTTGCTGGAGTTTATTTTGAGAAAATTTTAAAGGAAACTAAGCAGTCTGTGTGGATCAGAAACATTCAGCTTGGTAAGTTTAATTTTAATCATCTGTTAGAGATATTGCATTCTGAAGCAATTGAGATAATTGTGCAAAATAAATGGATAAATAAAAAATACAACTAGCATTTTAGTATGCTGCATATATATTATTTTAAAACCAGAAGTCAAACTCTGCTAGAGGAAATTATAGCAGTTACTTTCTGATTTCAGTCTAGTTCTTGATTTACTTTGTTAATAGAGTATCTGTACATTTGTACAGAAACTGTCAATTAATTTTTTTTTACTATTCTTTAGAGAATATAGGAATGTTAAAACAAAATACATTTCCAAGTCAGTGTTTTGAGATGTTTTAAAATTAACATATTTTTTTCTCTTGTGCCTGGGTAGGCAGCTTTTTGTATTAAAAGTGCAAGCTATAAAATCTGCTTTGTTTGTGACTAAAGTTGAGGGGATTGTTTACTGTTATTTCAATACCAAAGGTCAGTTTCTTTTGTGTGCAAAGTCACTGAGGAGAAGCTTATGCAAAAGACCAGTTCATCTTAACTATTTGAATAGCTGTAGCATTCTATTCCCAAAGCAGCCTTGGGCCTTGCAGACCCTGGATGTTAAAGGTGACAGAGCTGGTCTGTGTTCATGAGTGAGTTTTCCCTACCTTCAAAGCAATCTTGTCCAGTTTAGAGGGTTGGAAACAGGGCATCAACAGTATCTTTTTGTTCCTGTTTTACAACATGGACAAAACTTATTGGTGCCTTTGTTTCTCTAATGGAACCCTTCTAGTCTTCATCTGTAGGCAATACCCATTTATGGCATATTTGAATGAGTGCATAGAGCAGAATTTGACCTTCCCAGCACCTTAGAACAGACTAGGGATCAAATCCTCAGTGTATAGTTAAGTCATGAGATGATTTAATTGATCAGAGCTGCGTAGTGAGTCTGGTAGAATGTAGTGCAGTACTATAAGAACAGGACATTGTATGGCTTCTTTTGTAATTAGTTAGTTGGTCAATAAGCCATCTTTATTTCCTTTATTTTCCTACTACTGTGTTATAAGTGGTTTCAGTTAAAAAAGCAGAAGCTAATTTTGAATATATTAAAACATTTTTACATGACCATAGTGTTTTGAAATCAGAGTATAGTGGGAGGAATCAAAACCTCTCTTTACTATCTGCTTGTACTTATGGAAACAGTGTCTACTCAAACTAAATTTCCTGAACAGAGAGTAGGTAATACATCAGGAGACGTTATATTGGGGAATTCTGGGGGGAGAGAAAGGTTGCTAGCTGGGGATTGGTCTAGGATCTAAGATAAGATTTGGTGGTATGGGTGGAGCTGCAATATAAAATCCATTGCCAAAGAAAGCTGATTATTATTATTACTCTCAGTTTCCATGCTAAAAGTACTTTCATGGGCAACAGATATCTGAAATAATTTCCAGAAAGAATTCATAATTGTTGAAAAAAATCAATAATCTCTTCTAAAACATTGTTCATATTTTTCCACAGTGCACAGAAGTATGTACACTTAGTTTAATAGTTGGCCTGGTCATATATTGAATGTTCCAGTAATTCTTTGTTAAACAAGAAGATCAGAACAGACTGTCTGAATGCTGACTCTTTTAGGTGATGAATGACTAGGAGAGTGAAGACATAAATGTCTGATTATAGTGAGAATCAGATCACCTGAGTTTTGTATTTACTTTTGTAGTGAGCTTAATATGCCTCAATAGGAAGTTCAGTTGAAAAATAATGTTGTCATATTTCATTAAGTTTTTAGAAGCTATTTAAATACGTAAATACAGTTAAACAATACATATTAAACACATATAAAAATAAATACAGCTTTTACAGTACAGCTTTCACAAAATATGTAAAATGTGAAATCACATTAGAAAATACATTGGTGTCTTCTTTCTGCAAGTGCAAGGTAGTCACTCACTTTCAGACATTGTGTTATTCAGGAGCAAGGCATTCATAAGCAAGAGCTCTGAAATAGAGCTTTTCTTACAACACAAACAAAAAACTGTATATGTTCAACCAGGTTTTCATTTTCATATCCATAGAGAATTATTAAAACTATAGGAAATATTGGGGAAATAAATTAGAATTGTTTTAAAAATCAGTTTTTAATGCACACCAAAGCCATAATAGGGATGTAAGAATAAGTTATTGTATTTCTTTATTTTAACAGATCAATTGGAAAATACAAATAAATGGTTTAATCTGAATGATAACTACATTTTTAATTCTGCCTACAAAAATAATTATTTCTTATCAAACAGAAGGTGTTATTTTGTTCAAAACAATTCTGCCTTTTTCAGATGCTGAGAAATGTGATGAAAATCACCTTTTCACAGAGAAGGAATAGAAAAAAAGTGTTGAAGGAATGGAAAAAAAGTGTTGACTCTTTCCCGCTCAAGACTAGAGCAGACATCAGTCACCCATTTGATAGAAGAACACTGCACTCACCAAATTAAAAGCTCCACAGTCTCACCTCAGATTCAGCTTTAAATATTAAGTCTCTACTAGTAAAAACTCATTGTGTTTGAGACTGGCTCAGGAGAATCCCATTTAAAAGATCCTTGTCTGAATTGGCAAACAGCTAATTGCTGCTCCGGCTGTGCCAGAGACCTCTTCCACTGAGTGTTTTTCCTGTTTTTCTCTTCAGGTTATAGGGTGGCTTCAGCCTTCAGTCATGACTAGTTTTAGGAAAACTGTAATAACATTTAAGTGAATTTTGCTATATGCATAAACAAAAATCACTCAATTCCAGTAGAAAGCAATGGAAGATAAGTATATAAGGATATCTTAATGGAAACAATAAAACTTGTTTCAAGTGTAGAGACTAGCTTTTAAAAGAGAACAGCAAACTGATTGCATTTGGATGTGATAGTATTGCAAGTGACAGTCCAATTTTAAAATCAGAAATACATGAGTAGCCTTTAAGGACAGGGAACCCATTTGTATGTTTTTCACCTGAAGCTTTTAAACCAATCTTCTACTTTCAGGATTTTTTGGTAGCATATTTGGACTTATGGGTGTTTACATTTATGATGGAGAACAACTGTCAAAGAATGGATTTTTTCAAGGATACAATAAACTTACTTGGGTGGTGGTTGTTCTACAGGTGAGACCTTGTGTTGCATGTTTCTGTGAAGGCACTCAGATTTACTCTTCCCTAAATAACTGGGGAAACTAATGGGTGTCATTGAAGGTGCTGAGAATTCTACAGTTGAAAGTCTGATCTATCATTATTATCATACTCTAAATGAAAATCTGGAAAATATATAATAAGTATGTGATTAAGTATTGTGCAAATTAAAAGCGTGTAAGCATTATTTATTTTGTGATATTTAAAATTATCTCTCTATATGCCCTTTCCAATGTGGCTAAAAATGTACTACAAGTATTTCAACTAATTTAGTGATGGTTAATGTGATCAGCAGTTTCTTTAATGGGGAAAGAGCTACTCCTCCAGTATTTACTTTCAACAGTACATATTCCTAATATAAAATAAATGTATTGCTCCTCAATATAGACAAAAGCTTTTCCTTAAGTAGGTGCATGGTTTTAAAACAGATGCTCTCAGTTAAATTATCAATTAATTCAAACCTCACTGTTTTTCCAGGCACTTGGAGGGCTGGTGATTGCTGCTGTTATAAAATATGCAGACAACATTTTAAAGGGATTTGCAACTTCTCTCTCCATTATACTGTCAACATTGATCTCCTATTTCTGGCTGCAAGATTTTGTCCCTACAAGGTAAGAATGATTTTCCATGTGTACTGAAAGAAAATAGTTGAAAACTATTGCGAAAATAAATAAAAAACAAATCATCCAAGCCATACGTTCAAAATATGTAGGTCCAGCTTGCAGACCAAAGTTTAGGCTCATCCCGTAGTGAGTTTCTCAGGCGGGTGGCTCGGGGTGCCGCGGCGGCCGCGCTCCCCGCGGCTGCTGCCGCTGCCCGGGGCCGCAGTTCGGCCCGGCGCGCCCCCTGCGGCCCCGCGCGGGCACCGCACCCCCGGACAAGGGGGACAACGGGGACAACGGGGACAAGGGGGACAAGGGGGACAACGGGGACAAGGGGGACAACGGGGACAAGGGGCCGCCGCCGCTCCGTGTCCCGCGCTGCGGGGCGGCACAGGGACATCGCCTCTGTGCCTTTCATCGCCCGCACTACAGGCTCTAACACAGGTCACGCACCCCTGGAAGTGATGCTGCAGCACTGAGTTGCCCAAGAGCACCCAGAAGCCCAAAGGCAGAGCTGTTTCTAAAGGCAATGCCACATTTAGTAGTGAGAACAGCTAAGAAAGAAAAATAATTGCTTGCTCCTTTCTTTTAGACCCCGTACAGTGTCCTGATGCTTTGGGGATCAGATCATGGTGGCTCTGTGTGCCACAGGTTTTGTACATGGCTAGGTTGAGAACACTGCTTGTCTTGGCAGTGCATGTTCCTATGTGAAGTGTAGAATTAATAATCCCACTTCCAGGTGTAGGAATAGGATTTTACTTTTGACTGACCAACACTCATTGCATACGTTGCATGCACTCATAACATAAAAGTATCTTGAATAATATTTACGACTTTTGAATCTGGTACAAAAAAAAATGTTTTTATCTAAAATATATATATTTGCAATACTGTGGTCCCTTCTATCCCTACCCATTCTGTGATTTGGTATTATCAAGACTTAAGCACTCGAAAAAGGAAATGGAATGGCTGTTTAGGCTTAAGAAATAGGGGACATTGAACATTAATTATAAGTAGATTATATTTGTCCTATTAAAACAAATGTAGAAAATGTTTTAAGAATTTCTGTGTGCTTAAATGGAAAATTAATAAGTAACTTAACAGCTTCTGCAAACATGTTAAAAATTAAATACAGCCAACTAGAAGTATGTAGATCTTGAAGTGATCCCATTTAATAAAACTTGACTAACTTGAGTTAATCAAACTTTATGCTAACAATGCATTTGAACTGAAACTGTGTAATTGTTTCTGTCACATCAACAGACAGTTTTGATAAGGGTAATAGATGTAAAGTACTTAAATGCTTAAATGTGTTGCAAGGGGCCGTGTCCCAAAATAGGCTAAATGTATTCTGTGAAGGATTATCATGTCATATGCCACAGTTTCTTTAGCATTTGGTTCAGAAGATGAAATTGTTGAAGTTGTCATGTCTGTAAGGAGATTCTTTTTTAAAGTGTGTACTAATTGTCTGCTGGCTTTGATTTTGTATCATTTAACTATCAAAACAACTTGAAAGACCAAAATGTCATGATAGAAAAGATGCCTTTATTGTGTTTTCATGAGACAAATCTTTCTGTATCTGCCAAAAATTAGATTATACTGACTTGCAAACTGGTTCTTGGGCAGCAGTGATTTGTTTTGACATAAGCTTTGGGCTTCAATGCAAATACAGCTCCAACAACATTATATATGTAGTATGAGAATGAGTGGGTAACCACAGAAGCTGCTTTGCACACATCTTTAGATAAAAGTTTAAGAAAAAAAAAGATTGATCTGATTGCTTTTGGAAATTCTTTCATGAAAGTGTAATTTTAATTTTCAGGATATGTTAGTATAATGATACATTAATTTGTAGTTACAAGTTTCTTACCTCAACAACTTTCTGCATCCCTCTAAAATAAATACATACAAATTATTTTGCACTTTATCAATTGGACAAATATAATTTATCTTTCTGTTTTCCTCATGGAAAAATGTCCTTTCTTTTGATTGTATTGCTTAAATAAATTTGCATCAACTAAAACAAACCTTTTTTTTTATCTCTATTCAGTGTCTTTTTCCTTGGAGCCATCCTTGTAATAGCAGCTACTTTTCTATACGGTTATGATCCCAAACCTGCAGGAAATCCCATTAAGGCATAGCAGACTTCCTCATCAACCTGCTTCTTGAGATCATGCACTGGGGGCCTTGCTAGCACTGGCATGTGGGAAGTGTCACTGTGCACTGCAAGGGAAGGATGTCTGCCCTGAATATATTGAAGAAATGCCGATGAGTAGTTCTGGACAGCCAGAGGGCTTACAGGTGGAGGGTGATGCTGTCTGCAGCTGACGGGGTGTGGGGGGGAAACGTCAGGGGAATGCCCAGTGCAACTTGCTAATAAAAACTTGAAAGGAACCAAAAGTTTCCAAGAAACTACAATTAGGAATGTTTACAGCTTTGACTGAGATTGCATCAAAAGAATTACTGTATTGACTGCTGCAGAAAATATGTCCTATGCACTCTTGGAAAGAGCACACGACAACATTGTCAGATTGTATGTTTTTGCTATTCAATACTATTTAATCTTAGTAAATATGTTTTTAACTGTTTGTCTATTTACGTGAAATGAGCTGAAAGTCATAGTTCTAAAGTGATGGTTCTAATTAGGTACTCCTTATTAAAACTGAAAATTGAAATATGATTGAAAGACACTCATATCAAATATTTTTATATTTTTAGAAGGCTGATTTAATAACAGAAATCTGTTATTAAATGATACTATAATTCTGTTGCTTCTATAAAACTATGGTAAGAATGTTAATATTCTCACTGGAGTACCAAGGGAGGAATACTCCAGCCTTCATCAGCCTGTAGTGTTGGAGCAGATGGAATAACTCTGGGAGCAGGGGCTGGAGGTTACCATGCTAACCTGGGAGGAGCAGTAGGGTTATGGTGGGTGCTTGCTCAGATGCGATGTTGATTCTTTTTTTTTTTACTGATTATAAATCAACTTTTTGGTAGAACCTTAAAAGTAGCTTTTGTGCTTTAAATAGCCTCTGAAGATTTTTTTAAACCATGATTTCAAAAAACAAAGAGCCCATAATAAGCATTTAAAGGCATTATCATTGTCTGTAACAGCTCCATCTGGAGATATTATGGTATGGCATCTGTATACTGTACTGTACTTTATTACAGAGGTGTTTTTTAAACAAATGTTTACTCATGAACTCTTCCAGGCTTTTTCTATATATTTCTATGTAATGGCTTAATTAGAATTTTGGTGGGTTTTTTTTAATTATTATTATTTTGTTCTGAGAGTCCTTGAGCCAAAATGAGTTATCTGGACCTATTTGTTCTAGTAGTGGAATTACTTTAATAGTAGATATAATTTAAAAGCAATTAATTGTGCAATAGGTAAATATAAAAGCATGCTGTTATTCTGTTTAAAACAAAAAAAAAAAAAAACTTCACAAAGAAACCTTGCTGCAATTAGATCAATTAGACTGTTATGAACACTTCACTTGAAGTATTTGCATATAGTCAGAAACACTAAAAAAATCTTGAACTAATAAACTTAAAAACTGTCTTAAAAATCATTGGTTTTCAGGTTTACAATGGATGTTAATGTAGGGTGACTCGTGTGACACCTGTGGTGATGCATTTATATAAAAGCATTTTAGGAGTCCCTTGCCAGTAGAATGGCAAGTGGTATAAATGTCTTTATTCCTTTGTTCCCTGCCACCACCCCCTCCATGCTCTTTCTCACATCTGTCTTGTACTAAAGAAAATGTGTGATAGAAGGGTGTTTTGAAATGTTTACCTAAGTACCTCATCTGACTGACAAGGAGATTCTGTAGGAGTGCTCTGAGATTTCTTAATGAAGTATTGTAAATGGGAAAGGAAGAATACAATTTATGTTAGTTAAGTAAAAATAGTGTCTTTCTTCTGTTGACAATTACATGTTTTATCAACGTTTTGTTTGTTTGTCTTATCAGAGCAAGACATTAAAGAAATATCAGAGCTCTGCCTTGGGCTTGCTAAGCTTTGTGAACTGTGAATCTGTCCCAGCATGTTGTAATTGCAGTAGCTTTGCTACTTGGCGATCAAAACTATCTAAATGGGCATTCTGTGTTACTATTAAATGTTTTACATGTAACGTCCAATGTGGCACAATCTTTGAAAAGTCCCATTTAGCCATTTCCCCCTGCGGTGCAGGCTGAGGTAAGATGTGTGTGTAGAGCAAGCAGTGGCTCACAGTGGTGCCACGTACAGAATGGGAACTGCATTGCTCTGAAATGAGGTGGGAGGTGTTGGTAGTAATTTCTCAAATGGAGTTTGGCCCTACACAATAATACTTTTGATTTTGTGAGTCACAGTAGTGGGAGTGTTCAAGTGATAGAATTGGTTACTTTCCTAAGAAAAGTCTCCAAAAAACATAAAAAGCAGGTTGTGAACACTTTAAAGTTGGTTGTACAGGAAGGGACCAAAAAAGCCAAAATATTACCACGTGGCTGGAGCTCTATGACATGTAGCCTGGTTTTAATATTTCAGGTGCACCTGTCAATATTTGCCAGGATGTTTAAAGGAAAGACCAGGAGTATGTGCTCTTTGCTTTGGAAAAGGATGCCATGCAGCTTTGGAAAACTGCCTGCTGTACTAAGGAACAGTAGCTCCTTTCTGTAAAGGAACAGTAACTCCTGTCTGTAAATCGGTGACTTCCGTGCTTTCACTTGACAGTCCCATTCTGGTTTCCAGCAGAAGGATAGATCTCATCACAGACTTGTTGCTGAAAAGGAAAAATGTATTTGCATTTTTAGCTATGTTTCCTCACAGAGAGGAAAGGCTGTTCTCTGAGGTGTGGCTCTGGACAAGGGGAGGTAGCACATGTTTTCTGAGAACAGAAAGGGCTTGAGGTGGGCTCACTGATTTCTGTAACCTTTGCACCGGGGAGCATATGCACATTTTCTCACGGAGATACTTTTGTATTTGGATTTTTATTTTTTTAAGTAGCTTTAAGTCTATAACTCATTAACTAACCAAAGAGGAATAGCTAGCACAGAGTTTTGGGAAGTAGTGGATAATGTGCTTTGAGTTTGCCCTAAAAGCAAATGCTGTAGGAGTCTAACTTCCCAAAAATAAACTTGTCTTCCTGAACTATTTTCTGACTTTTAGACAATGGTTTTGTTAGTTAAGTTGTATATTTAGGAGGCTAACCTATACTTAGCAGAATTTTGTTTAAATATTTATAAAGTTGTAGCTAGCTATTTATTTGTAATAACTTGAATTATGTGATCTTCCTTTCTAGACTTATATATTGGGTGTACTAGTATTTATTGAATACTTGGATATTTGGCAGTTTTATTTGAGAATATCTGGGATACATGGTAAATGGTCAAATAACAATAAAGTTAGGACTATCTTCAAAGCAAAATAGATCAGTTCAGTGGTGAAAAAACTTAAAGTCTAATAAAGTAAGATAAACTTTTCTTTCAACATTGTATTTCTAAGCAATCCACAAGTGCCCAAAAATTTATTTTCTCAAAGAATTCAGGTAATTGTGTAGTTTTATTCAACTTCATTGTTTTAGAAAAACTTAAAAAATACCTTCCTTTTTATTTCAGTAAAGGGTAGATTAGTGTTCTAGATTCAACTCCTATAGTATAACACCTTTGGATTTTTACTACAATGTTTTAATAACTATTGTGTTATTTTTCCTCAAAAAGATAAAACATTCTCATTTTGCTTGTGTTTCATGCACATGAACACAGGCCTCTCACAGACTCTTAGTAGTACATAATTCTTTTGTATTTCTAACTTATTTTTTGGCTGTAGCAAAATACTGTAATAGATTTTGTTCATTTTTTTAATTGATAAATGAAACATTGCATTTGTTCTGGTTTTTGTTGTCAGTAACTTTCATATTTGAATGTATTTCCTGATCAGCCCTGCATGTTCTGTTGTATTTAAGTGATTGTCATTTCCCAAATTTGCTTGTTCTCCTGGTGACAATGTTTCTTGGTGGATATTGTGTGGAGGTTTATGCATTCCTTTCATATCTGAAATTTATGTTTGTGAGAATGAGTTATTAAAAACCAGTAAGGGGTTTTTTTTGTGTGTGTGTGTGTATTATAAAAGTAACATTTATGTATAACACAGTATTGTACCATAAATGTATAAAATGTCATCACCTAAGATAGGCATTACTGTGAAAAAGTCCAAGCAGTGTTTCCTTACCTTTGTTTTAATTTTTCTTTTCATTTTTAATGCTGATAATGTTCCACAGGAAGAGAGTCCTGCTCTTTACAGGTAAGCTCATTGTATGTTTTTAGTTATCTAAAATTAGTGCATTTTACTAAAGAAAAGTTTGGGGCAAAATGCAACAAAATATGTGGAATTGATTATATCATATCTTCTGCTTCAGTTACTGTCCAAAGTTCTGTTCCATTGAGTTCTTAGGTTTTTGTAAGTATTTCTCAGCTGTATTTATAACTTTCTAGAAGAGAAAATAACCTGTCTTAACTTGCCATTCAGTGCTTGTTCTTGTTCTTGAATGTCTGCTGCACATTTGCATCCAAGAGTAGACATGGCACATTAACTTGTCTGCAATCTCCCGTCATCATTCTGACTGTAATTAGTCATATTCATTTCATTAATGATTTAGAGCTCAGTAAGAATTGCTTATACGCTAAGCAGATGTTTGTATCTGCTGCCATGAGTATGATTTTTTTCAATTTTTTTAAACTTTGTTCTTATTGTCAATATATGAGCCCAAATATATTATTCAAACATTGTAGCAAAATTTTTAAGGTAGTCTTAGTTTTTTATATGTTGATATTTGTGTGTGATTACACTGAATACGGTTCTAATAGGTGGTGTTTCCAGGCAGTTTGGAAAAGGTTATTTTTTTTTGGTGTAGCACTGCTGAACACTGGAATGCATCTTACATGACCTAACACAGTCCTTCTTTTAATCCATGTTGAGGTAAAATACTGTATTTTTTTTTCTTCTATATGAGTAAATAATGTCACTATAGTAATAAACTGGTTGAAATTAAGCATTTGCTTTGTTAAGAATATGATTAAAAACTATTTGAGAACTTTGTTAAAAGGAGAGGCTTGCCTTATGCATATTCTTGCAGAAATAAACCACAATTTTAAGAATGCTTATTATTTCACAATATAATTTTAGCATAATTTTTTATAAATTCTAGAAGGCTATTGGATTTTTTTAATGGTATATTTTAACATAAAACTTGCTAAATGTTGCCAGCAATTTAATTTTGACTGAGATATGCTTCTTTTTACCATTGTGTCATGACTTCTTGCAGTGTTCTTGTGAAACTTTTCTGGTCTGGAACCCCAGATGTGTCCTGAACCAGGGGTGGTAGGGAGCATCTGTGTATCAATACTAAGTTATATTGTGGGGTGTGGTTGTAAAACACTATAACACTGTAAGGAGCTATGAATAGCTGTAGTTTACAATATATCAAAGACCTGAACAGAGTTCACAAGGAGTTTCTATAGATGATGAATAACATGTTTCTCTGCCTGTTCTGCAGATGCATATAATAAAACTGGGTCATTTCACCACCAGTTTTCAGGACACTTCATTTCTATCAGTTTCTTTTGTAAATTTTGCCCTGCTCTGAATGTTAACATGCAACATGATTTAAACTGAAAATTTTATGCCATTAGGTGACAAATTAATGATTGCTTATTTAGGGATATTGTTCTTCAAGATTTGTGTAAAGGCACTCCCTGAGGAATCTGACCTGAAACTAGTGAAACTATCATCTGCCTGTGCCTTGGAATACCTCTAGAGAGATAAGTCCTTTTTCATCCCTCTTCCAGAATGATAGTAATGTCTTCTACAGCTAGCAGTATGCATTTACTTAGTATAGATGGTTGAACACTGTGGGTGTTTAGATGTAACAGGCAATTCTTGTTTCTCTTCCTTTATTTGTGTTAAATAGTGTTAAATATTAAGGTTAATGTTATGTTAATATATAAATTAAATAATGTTAGAGCAGATTATATTGAGACTTGTGTAGGTGAGTGGAGTTTAATATTTGAAAATGTGTAGCTTGCTGAATTTCATGACAGAAACAGCAAGTTTATTCTACATTCTCATTATCTGAGTTTATTCTACATTCTCATTATCTGAGTTTATTCTACATTCTCATTATTTGAATCATCTTCTCTGTCTGCATGAGCAAACTTGATACTTAAATGCATTTATTTTGATAATGACATCAATAACAGGTGTTGGTTTAATAGACGGTGTAGATACAAAACCATCTTGTTAGCCTAGTTACCAAATGACTGCTGACATTGTAGTCAACAGTAGTGTTGACTTTTTACATGAGTCCCTTACATGTCACCTACATGTCTGTGTATGACTTTCCCACCAAAATATAACAGCGCTCTGAGGAATAGACTTGAAACTATGCCAGCATTTTCGGACCCCTATCCTTTTAAAGTAGAAGTGGGACAAAATTGTCAAATACTTCATGTGACACTCTGATACTTGTAACAAATGACTGATAATAGCAAACATCCCAGACTCGCTAGATGTACTCTCTGTTTCATGAGCTGGAGTCGGCTTGTTTTTGTCTAGATCCGTTGGTCTGAGTAGGGCTGTGTCTCGGCAAGTTCTGAATTCCTTAAAAGGTGCATTATGATGAGATAAGAAATGCTTGATCTTAAGGCTCAGGGTTTAACCTAAGTCCATGCGATCTCAAGTGGTGAGTGGTTGACACCCGTTTGGTAACGCGGTGGGAGGCGCAGTGCCGGTCTGTCTCCGGGATAAGTTCCACTGTTGGTAGGGACAAAAAGCTGTTCCTGTGTAGATGAGGTTTAGGGGGAAACGGGGGTGTCACAGGAGCTGGGGAGATGGAGATAAGCAGCAAGAGGGATGGAAGACCGAGGACTAAGAACTTAGATACGTGGATACAGCCGTGGAGACTTGTGTCTGTATCGTGAATGTAATGGTATAGCATGGACAGTTGTTTTTCCTTAGTGATGCCAGACATCAACAGCGGATGAATTTACAAGCGGCAGAAAACGTAATAATGCCAACATGTTTCTAGAAGATTTTCTCCACTAATTGGCATGCTGCTATGTGGAAGCTGATCCCTGTTATCTTGTTACTTGCAGGCGCTGTGGTAAATCGGAACCTGGGATGACCTGCCCGCTTGAAGGTGCTAGAGCTTTCATAAGCTAAGTTTAAAGCTTGATATTAAGAAAGAAGAATATCTGTCTCCAAGCTGGATCGTTAGTGTGGATTATATCTGTTTGTGTACTCTGGCTGTAGAAATGTCAGGTATATCCCGTACTAACTGCGTTCCTTTGGTACTTTTTCCCGGGCGCCTCAGCAGCTCCAGCAGGGAGGAAGCGGGGCCGGATGTTTCTATTCGGAGGGCCGGGTGGTGCCGGGGGCCGGATGAGAGAGAGCCTGAGGCTCCCGGCCGGGCCGCGCTCCGCGGGCGGCGCTCCCGGCGCAGGCGCGCTCCCGGCCGGGCCGCGCTCCGCGGGCGGCGCTCCCGGCGCAGGCGCGCTCCCGGCGCGGGCAGGGCGGGGGGCGCCCTGCCCACGTGAGCGGCGCGCGGCCAATGGCGCGATCGCGTGATGCGCAGCGCCGGCTGCGCGCGCGGTGGGGCTGCGCAAGATGGCGGCGGGCGCGTGAGGGGTGGCGGCGGCCGCGGCGCAGGGACGGAGGGAGCCGAGGCCCGAAGGGAGCCGGGAGGGGCCGCTCGAGCCGCCCCCGGGGTGCGATGGTAAAATGACCCAGGCGGGCAAGAAGAAGAAGCGCGCCGTGAACCGCAGCATCATGCTGGCCAAGAAGATCATCATTAAGGACGGCGGGACGGTGAGGCCGGGGGCGCAGGATGGGCCGGGGACGGCCGGCGGCGGCGGGGCCCCGTGGCGGTCCGGCGGCCGCGCCTGTGTCGGTCGCGGTGCTCTCCCGGGCGCCGCAGCCCCGAGAGCCGCGCTCGGCAGCCCGGGCCGGTGTCGGCGGGGGGCTGCCCGGGAGCGCCTGTCAGCGTGTCAGGCTGCCCCGCTGCCCAGCCGCGCAGTTGGCTCCTCTGTGCGCCGGGTTTCGGGTCGCGAGAGCGGCCTGGGGCGCCCGGCCCGGGGCGCGGCGGGGCGCTGCGGGAGCGGAGCGGCTCCGAGCCCCGCCTCGCCGAGCGGGGCTGCCGTGTGCGGGGTGCCGTGTGCGGGGTGCCGTGTGCGGGGCTGCCGTGTGCGGGGCTGCCGTGTGCGGGGTGCCGTGTGCGGGGTGCCGTGTGCGGGGTGCCGTGTGCGGGGCTGCCGTGTGCGGGGCTGCCGTGTGCGCGGCTGGGACCGCTGGCCCCGCCGTGCCCCTGGCCAGCCTGAATGGGCCCGAGCGGGGCACAGACCCCGCGCCTGAGCAGTTCCGCAAAGGGCGCCTGGGAGAAAGGTTTGGCGGTTCTTCCCACTGTTTTGCTTCCTCGTAAATACATAAATTCGAAAAAGAAAGGAAGTTGTCAAACGTTTTGGCTGCTGGAGCTTGGAGTTGTTTTGGGTGCGGTTTTTGGTTGGTTATTTTTTATATTGATGAGTGCCTTTACTTCAAATATATCATTGCCCCTGGATTTTTTCCACTGTGTAGCTTCAGTGTGCCCTGTGCTAAATGGAGTGCCTTTATTTCAAATAAAGAGACATCTTGACAGACTAAATTGCTGATTCAGTTTGTCTTTTTGGAACAAAAATGGAGAAGAGACAGGTGTGAGAGTCACTGTACTTGTTCATTGAAGTGGCCAGCTGGCTGGATTACTGAAGTGTTAGGAAGCAAAATTAATTCTGGTATTGGTTGTTGGTGTTTTCCAGGATGTGTTCCTGCTGTTTGTAAAGATAGAAATGTAGATTACCTTGTACAAATGTTAAATGCAAGTATTTTAGATAGAGTAGTACGAGCAGAATAAATGTTTGTTACTCGGGGGACATAGTGCTTCATAATTTCTCTCTGAAGTATCATTGGTTAAGATACAGTGTGTTTCCAGGCATCCCTAACCTCTCAAGTTTAACTTCCTTTCTCCAAGAGAGGAGAAAGTATGTTACAATTAACTGCATTCCATGATAC